TAGCCAAGTTTATAATTTGTGAATTTTTCTCACAATGTGCAGGACCACATGTTGTTCAGCAGTACGGTCAGGAGAGAGGATATACAACATGCAATTCTATACCTTCTTTGTCTACTATGATGAGATGCTCTATTGCTGCTCCATTTTTGCGCCAAACAAATTGTATCGGCATAACTCTCTCCAAATACTTATAACTCTCGTCCCTGCTTTGATTTTATTGATTGCCAAGAAATCGTACCCTTCTATTGTCTTCAGCTGATACCAGCCAGAAGTCCAGCAGTGAGTAATCGAGTGCCAGGATTTACTCGAACTTCAACAACAATATTACCACCAGCTGGTTAACTAGTAGGCAATTAAGTAACAGCATGACTAGTCATGACTCTCAATAACAGAATTTTGAACATGCCAAGGGCACAGGTGCGTATAAATTCCTAATTTAGATTTTTTCCATAGTTAGCTATTGCAGAAGTGTGCCAAAAGTCGTCTCTTTTCTCATAATAGCTCCCTGTTTTTCCACGATGTTTCAAAGTGCTTTGAAGCTAAATTTATATAGTTGTAAAAGTAGCAAGACAATGTCACGCAATTTTTTCAAGTATCAACTGCATACCATTTGCAAAGGCAGTCGCTCAAGGAGCAAAGACCGCCATTGCACGAGCTATCCTGAAAAGTTGTCCGTCAATCTTTCAATGAGAGAATATTTTCATTATTTATTTTTTGTTTCATGTATCTATACAGTGTCAAAGAACTAAATTTTACCCATTGTACTGTTGGTACCTTTGACAATTTAGCTTTACAAAACAAATGAATATAATTTACTAAGAATTTTTACAAGTGTTCAATGCCTAATGTGCTACATGGTCCGTCTCTTTTCCCACTCACTTGCGACTCTGACTAATGTCCGTCGTTCAATGTTCTACTAAGAACTTCATTTGAGTACCAAAAATGAAGCAACTTCCCTTGGATCGGGTTTCAAGGCAGAGAAAACTGAGGCGATGTCGAAGGAGTAGTAGTACGATAAGTGTTATGAGTTATAAGACAAAAGTGGAGGTTTTTCTAGAACAAGTTCTTGCGAGACAACTACCACAGGCGATGGCATACCTAGCAAATAACATGTGCAAGAACGTTTTCGGTCCCTTTCTGCTTGGGAGACAAATGATTATCCGATCGCAATTGTTGGAGATTAATTTCCACAGGAGTGTTAATGATCGTTCGAAAGCCTTAATCTCTGGCCAAAGCCTACGGGGCTGGTTTATCAAAGCAGCCCTGTCTAACGCTATAGAATTCAAAACAAATTGTGTTCCACATCTACCGCGCGCCTTCATTTCTATCACGTGTAATTTTCTGAAAGCACGAAAAGCATATGAGCGTTTAGAGAAAATTCCGTAATATTTGGGCCAATTGTTTTAGCTGGAGTTCCCTTCAGCGCGGAGAATAAATTCTCAATTGAATAACAAGCTGCATTCTATATGTCTAACACTCTAAGCCATCGATCGATTGTTCCGTCCCCCAACGCGCAGATTTGTCGGTGAACAAGCTCGTGGAATATATGAAACTTGATCTTATTTCCCCTGCTGCATTGCAGTGAAACGGTCCTTTCTAGAAAATAACCATAGCGTTCGAATTATTGAAGCTTACGTTATCGACTGATTACCAATAGTCCGATGGAAGAGCCCTATTCAGCAAGGTTTAAGGCTCGATCTTTTCCTTTTCCTGAGGCGCTACAAAAAAAACGTTTCCAAAAAGCAAACACGTTTTTGAGTTCTTCGAGACTTGTGCTATCGAAAGAGTACAAGCACTCCAAAAGAGAAGTTTAGCCCAGTGAAATATAAGCGAGATAAGAAAAAAAAACCGTATGGTCGTGTGAAACATAGTTTTATATCTGACTTTACGGCGTTACGAAAGTGTTTTTTTAGAACTGGCTACTGAGGGCTGTAGCCAGAGATTTGTACTTGCGAATAGTTACAGGAAATAAAAAATTTTTTATAGCGAATGAGGTCGAATCATCATTAGTCGCAGTCTATCAGAAAAGTATCGAATTTTCTTCTATGATAATTATCCATGTTCATTTGTGCTGAAGTTCCGACTTTTCGCTGTCGCTCAGGTCGGATCTTCCTTGGTGGGATCAATTCACGAAGGGTACGCTATGCATTCGACTTTATCCAAAATCATTTGAGGTGAAACTTGTCGCTCAGATCGGATCAAAGGCCCTCGAGTCATCGACTGTGAAGAAGTCGAAGAAGTCGAAGACGTCGAGACCATAGCAAATCAATATTTGTTCTCCATATGGAATAATGGAATATCCAATGAAAAAATCAATAGAAGCGGTGTGTGTAGAAAAGCCTGCATTGTTTTCAAATTTATAGGAGACTCAAACTCTGGGTTTTTCTGTTGGCATAATAGAAGTAATCGTCTTGCTACTTCGCAGTCAGGTGGTTTCTCCCAGTCTTTGAAGAAACGAATCTGCTAAACCGCGGGTTTGTGTGAAACAACCACCTGTATGCTTTCAAAAAAAAATAATTAATTTTTGCACCAGCTTTTTTTTTTGAAGAACCAATTTGATCAAGTACTAGAAGACAAATGAGCACTTTAAGCAATATAACAATAAAGCTTGTTGTCTAAGAACACCCAATAATACCAAATCATTATCACAAGCTTCTTCTCAAACTCCGTCTAATTGTCCACAGATAAACAGATCAAAAACGACTTCATCATTGCTGGTAAACCTCTTTGCGAATGTCAGAGCGTAATCCTAGAAAATTTTTTTGAGCCTTTCTGTGAGGTTTGGTGTGGCACTTATGGAGTGCTAGACACGAGATACCATTAGGCTCGTCAGGCTTAGCCTCGCCATGCTGCAATTTGAATAAATTTTCATCGAATCCTTCATAAGTGAGAGAGACGGGGAGGGGGGTGTATCCTTGCAAGTAATTGGCTGAACCGAAAGGCATCGTACTATTTATGAGCCTGTAATGATGAAGTACTTCTCTAGCACTATATGAGTGCCATAGGACCTGATAAAAAGGCTCAAAAAATATTATCAGATCATGAGATTGCTATTGTTTTGAGAGAGGTCTTTATAAACCCTCGAAAGTGAAGTCACTCAATCTACCAGCCATAAGCCTTCGACTCTTGGTCACTGCAATGTATGGTGAATTGACCACTCAACATTCGGTCATTTGAACAAATCGGCGTCGATTCCTTTGCATGTAAGGGGTGTATCACCCTGCAAGGGATTGACTGGGCCAAAAGACACCGTGCTACTGGCGAGCCTGTAATGGCGGAACACGTGTCTAGTGTCACTGCATAACTGTATAAGTGTATGTCACTGTATACTTATAAGTACCATACCAGCCCTCATAAAAAGACCTAAAAAATATTTTCAAATTATCAGACTGTTGTTGCTCTCAGCGAGCTCTACATAATTATTCGAAAGTAGACGTCGCATCATAAGTTTAGCTGACATTACTGTACTGTCTGGTAGAAGTTTTGATACTCCTGTACGCCATGTGTCTCTCAGCGGAGCAAACCATCGCAGAACTGTGCAAGAAGAAGAGGTAATTGGTCGTTCATTGTGTTATATTTATGTGGTCAATACCAAAGACTTATAGTATTTGTATCCATATATTATCAATTGTTGGTTATCATTCCGCAGTCAGATTCACTCAAACTTTCTGTACAAGCTGTCGTATGATTTCACTTGAACTCTATCGACATGTTCCTACGTCATTGTTATTGAACTTTTCTTCTTACAATAAAATGTCAACCCAGACTCGAAAAGTGTTTTGTGATAACAAAAATAAAAGTTCAGCGCGGAAAACCGATACGATGTCGAGCATCGTATTCTGGATTAGTGACTATTCAATTCTGACAACTAACTTGAGACATGACATTGCGAGAGAGCAGTTAGTTGTAATACTAAAACTCAGTGCCGACCCACAACGGCAACCTGGTGCTTTGGTGTACTGAATCGAAACTTTTTACGCCAGTTCTTGGTGCATCATGACCTCAATAATTATTCATCTTTTTGCACAGTGTTCTTAAAGTTTTGTGAATTGATATATTGGCCCGTTGTATGAATTCAGACTTTGTCAGGAGTTCGCAGATTAAATCGTTCAATCTAATGCGTCCTCCATGAGCAAGTGTTTCAGTTGTTGTAAAATCACCGAATTATTGAGCGGACTCAGGCATACTATCCCTATATCGACGTGACTCAGGTGGATGCACTTTTAAGCTAAGATTCGATCCTGATTATATCAAAACATTTCGATTGATCAATGTTGCAAATGCAACGATGGTCATTAGATTTGAAATTCTCTATGTTGTTGATCCTATGTGAGCATATAAGAAATTTTGGTGGTGAAGAGAATTATTCTGTTACGACTTTGACTGACTTTCCATTAACTTCGGCATCGGTCGGTAATTTTCCTAGTGATCAAACACGAGGCTTTCGTCCCAGTATTGTATCACAATAAGGGCGGTGTAGCGCAGAAGCCAGTGATGCAGTGTACCAAGAAGCGACTTGATAAGCTAGTGCAATCCCCTCCCCCAACATTCTGTTCTTGTCGATAAATTAAACGCTTTAAAAGGCCTTACCTGGACTACCTCTAAAACTGTAACGAGTATGCTCTCGACCAACATTATATGGCATTTATATAGGGGACGAAATCCATTCAGTAACCTATGCAGCACGTGAACATTTGTGGAAGCTGGGATCGAGGAAATGAATTGACTGCAAGAAGTGCCGGGACCCACACAATAGATTGTGATGATGAGTCATTCATGATAAAATAATAATCGAATCTAATAACAGTATTATGAACTGCGTAATGAAGCTCGGCTAACTCGTATTCAGCAACTCATGCAAGGTCTCTACGAATTTGCGTATGGAATCTCTCCGAAGTATGAGAAAACGCGGCAGCACACTGGCAAACAATACATGTTTGAATTGATGCGAGATGTTAGAGAACATAGAGATATTGAAGAAAGAGTGGTGGCGCAGATGTGCCTCTGTGGTGTAGTGGTGGTAGCACACGTCCCTGGTATGGATTAAACGCGGGTTCGATTCCCAGCTGAGGCCGCGTTTATGCTCACCACCCAATTCTCTTAAGTATATACGTAACATCATGACACTGCTTTTAAAGCAGTAAAAATACTAGAATTTCGGAGTATTTGAAATGAATTGGCGATTTCCTTTATATCGAAAGTGAAAGCAGCAGTGATGGATCTCCGGCCATTACTCTACTGTAGGTATATAGATGATTGTTTGGTTATATGTTCCACTCAAGGGGAGCTAGATAATTGCTTTAGATTGTTGAATGAACAGTCAGAGTATACAAAATTCACTCGTGAGATACCAAAAGGTGATTGGCCCCTTTCTAAATCGTGCAAGTAAACTTGACCGAGAGCGGCTACATAACAAAGTGGTACCGAAAGCCAAGTAATGCGAATCTGGTTCACTATTTCTCTTCTCATCCCTCACATACGAAAAAGACGTTAGTAAAAAACGTCTTTCGAACAGCAACCAGTGTATGTACGCGGGAGAAGCAGAGAGTAGAATCCGTGAAACCTCTGGAAATAGCCACTCCTAATGGATAGAATTAGTGACCCATTGGCTTGGATTTAGGGGGAAGAGTACGCTTTTGAATCAAAACTTGAATGAAAGGAAGGTCCCGTTCATCCTCCCGTTCTTTTCAAATGAGATTAGTGCAGCTATAGAACGCTGTTTGAAAAGAGAAAGTTTAGAGCAATAGGTGGCTATTACTGAGATACCACCGAATACTCTAAGACGCCAATTAGTTCGTAACCGCTTATATAACCGTCTTGCATAATGAAAGATTTTTTAAAATATGTCCTAACGCAGAGATGGTGATTGTAAGCGTAGGTACAGTCTATCTAATCTCTTGCAAAGCGTGTAGCGATAAATATATTGGCGAAACGGGTACGCCGCTCTATGCCCGCATAGAAGAACACTTAAGTGACAAACGTCTTAATAGACGGAACACCCCGCTAGGAAAGCACAGAGAACAGAACACGATGGAGTTGATTTTGAGATCGAAGTCACCATCCTTGCGCAGGAACAGAAAGCATCAGCGCGAAAAATTCTGGAGGGACTTTGGAATAACACCACCAATCCAACTATAAACGGTATGAAGGAATGCCTCGTAATCATTCGTGTCAGTATATAAGAGTGTTGTTTTGATGGGTAAGGTGCTTTACGAGCTTATGTGATTTCCTTTCGGTGGACTCCACTTGAATCATTTGGTGGAACACATATAAAAAGCGGAGAGTATGTTGAGTTGATTTTGTGCTTGATGCAATTGAAATCTAGGGTCTGGTGATTTTTCAAGGAGTAATGGGGGTGTTTGACTGATTGGAATGCGGACAATTTAACCTTTTCAGGCTCTGAAGCAGGCGGACTGGTGAAACGTCAGCTGCTGAAAAAAGATCGATGTAGCACCTCGTGTTTGGCTTAAAGAAGAAAATCAGGAATTGTGTTGAAACATGGTGAGGTTAATAAACAGTCGCTCTTGCGAATTACTTGGATTGAATTGTGCTCTAGCATTCATTGATGTTCATTAGATAACGTACTTTTTCTCGATGTAAGGTAATATTTCACACTATTCATGAACTTTCTTTGATAGGAGCTCGTAATGTACACGACCTACCTTCGATGTGATGGTTCGTTCGAGCGTTGGAGAAAAAAAAAGAACGACACTGTTAAATGTCGTTTGAAGTGTAGCCGGTGTGGAATTAAGAGAAAGGCAAAATGAGCCATATTGTGGACGAAGTACACTATTCTGAAATGTTTATGTTTACCAGACTTTTGATCTCGTAAACTCAAAGCAAGCAAGTTCCTCAGTGGATGAGAGATAAAGAGAATTCAAAAACCTCCAGAGAAGAGGAGAAAACAGAGCAGTTTTATAGGTGATGATGCTCACGCGCCTTCTTCACTATTCCTTGGTTTTTTCTAAGTATTCGTTTTGACACTTCCTTATTAAACACGAAATATCAACAAAGAAAACGGTGAACGACTTGATACCTCAATAGAGTTCTGTGTTATATCCGCCTATGAAGAGAATGGAGTGACGGCAAAACAATGTCTTATTACTCCATATTGCTGACAGGCATTCGAATAATCTATAGGAACACATAGGAGCACATTTCTGCTCATAGACGAAAACAGAACTAGTCATGTTCTATCGAACTGCGCATGAATAGTTCAGAAAGATATCATTCAAAATGATCCAGGCAGCTTTCCCCTAAACCAAGAGCGATGCAGAACTTCTCGTGGTGTATGTATGTTGATGGACACGGGGCGAGTTCTTGTAATTGTCAGCATTGTAGCTTAATTGATGGGCTGATTTAATGTCAACACAAGCGAGATTACTGCTTGTAAAGAAAAAGTTTTTTTTTTCAAACCTCATTTAGCAGTCTTCCTCATCATCCGTCGTAATATTAATAGCCAAGTGGCTCGGAGGACGCCCCAGATCTTCCATTTTTTCCTGCCGTATGTAGGAGCATTTTAATGGATTTTACTTCCTCAAGGAATTTGTTACGCATCATAACCTGTTTTGAAGTTTCCGTCAAAATTCAAAGGTCGACAGTCTCCATGTTGTGCATTTGACATCCCAAAGGATCCCCTCGGTAACGGTTCTTATTCATCGGTTTTCGCTACACTGAATCCGGCCTACCTGATCTTCAAGAGCTCAGCATGTAGAACATCGTCGTCAACTTTTAATCGTTGACGTTACCTAAAAATTCTAATCTTTCTCTATTTAAGAGGTACAGTATACTCCTAACATTGACATTTTGATTGTGTCACTGTTTACTTCTGTTCGTTTTCATATTCGAAAGTAAACAAATGATCAGCTGTGTGCGAACCAACCTGATCAAATGCCTCAAACTTCCTTAGATTTGGCACTTAAACCCAAAATTGACAGAACTCGATTTATTATTTATCTAAGATGTAAACTTACTGCTTTGTCCATACGAGTTTCTTGAGTCGTAAAACGGCTTACATATTGATCACGTTCAAGAATTACGGCTATGGTAGCTCAATGGTCAGTGATCCCCGGAATTGAAGATGAGTTACCTTCGATTTTATGCGACGTTCTGACCAAGCCTTTCTTCTCCAAGGTTCTCCTTGGTGCCGAACTTGCTCAAGGGGCCCACTAAACTGATATATCAACAGCCCAACACATTTCCTTCTACATCTTAAATATACAAACGATGCCTGATAAATATGAATATAGCGATTCTCTCAAGAATATCATCTCCGAACTCTCTATCATTTAAATCCTAACTTTCATCTGGTAAAGTAAATTTCTTCTATAGATGAAAGGAGAAGAAGCTCCAAGTTCGCATCTAACAGGACTAAATGTCGGTAAATCATCAAGTTCATGTAAAGAATAAGGTGGACCGGAGTAATGCGTTTCAACGACAACAGATGGATGAGAGTCGTTACCGATTATGATTCTTAGGTATATCAAACGCACGGACAGACCACCGACCCGATAATCCAATTTTCTCACAGAGAGCTCAGAAGGAAAATATAGCCTCCTGCGATTCCCTATAGTGAGAGTCATCTACTGTGATACACGTGAATACGATGGGGAAAAATGGAAGTCTTACTGATGCTCACTCGAACAGTCGACGATTAGCGGGACGACCTGTTATACAGGTGATATAGGTGTATTGGAGAAGATCTAATAAGTTTTTGCGCTCAACTCCAACATGTGGTAGATTAGAATCCATTAAAATAATGAATTATCAAAACGTCTCATACGTCATGTCATCTACTTTTAACGCATTAGAAACTAGTCTGATGACTTTTTTGAAAAATTGTGGAAAACGAAAGGAATGGGGATTAGAATAGCACGTTTTCTTGACAATTACACGTTTCAATGTGAAAAATATAATAATGTCAACATAAAGTGCAATTACGAAAAACAGATTAAGGACTGAGGGGTTTTTTCTTGTTTTCCATTCACTTCTGCTCAGAGAACGGCGATGTTAGCCGCCATCGTGAGAAACATAGAACGAGCGATTACGTGTCACATTCTTTATTTGTGCAAAGCTCAGACAAGTTCGAAAGACGTCAACGATTGGTTTTTGGTATTTTTCAGCTATAAGGGAAAACGAATATTCAACCTCATTCGCAGTACTAAGATTTTTTATAGGGATGTCAGTAATCATTCAAAAGATCAAATCTCTGGCTAGGGCCGTACGTGGCATATTTTTGAAAAGACCCTTCTATAACGGTGTAAAGATCAGAGCAACATTATATTTTTATACGCGCATATTTCTTGCTGGACAAAGCTCCTTTTTAGGCTATAAGTAATCATTCAGTAGCGTAAGATTTTGAGAATCTAACAATGTGCTTTTTTTGGAAAGCCGTTTCTCTTAGTGCAGCAGGGTAAATAAGATCAAATTTGCATACGCCGGCGAGAGGGTTTTGACCTTTCTACTAGGTGGGCAGGAGGGCGCAGGGCGGATGTGGCGGTTTGAACACACCGGTCGATCGATTGGCCTTTCCGTGGACCATAGTAAAGTAGCATTCCTGATAATCAATAAGGAATTGTTTCTCGGAACATCAGATTGAACGTCTGACTCTAACACCAAAAATTTTCTCTACAAGTTCATGTGCTTTTCGCGCTTCCAGTAAAGTAATAGCATTGGGCAGTGGATGTAAAACATAATTTTATTTCAAATCTCACAGCGCTATAAATGAGCCTTTTTGAAAACCGGCCACGTACGGCTGTAACCAGAGATTCAAACTTCCGACTGATTACTATCACTCTTATGAAAAATTGATATACAGTGAATGAGGTCGAATATTCATTTGTTCCCTTATAACTGAAAAGAACCGACTTTTTTCTAAATGACTACTTCGAACATGCTAATGTCTATTATAGTGTTCGACATTGACCAATGTTTGAAGAATATGCTGTATACTCGTCTTCTTCCGTAGCATCGCAAAGCTAAATGAGTCATGTAATGCCTATATTGACTTTCGGCGACCACTGGAGTATCAGCTTAGTGCTTTATTCTCTCTAAAAAACATAGTACCAATTTGTT